GACCCAAATCATATGCAGTATGACCTTGACCGAGATACCTCGGCTTCCGGTGAACCGTCCTTGGCAGAGATGACAAAAACTGCCATAGAAATCTTGTCTAAAGGAGATAACGGATATTTCCTCTTGGTTGAAGGTAGGATGGTAATAAGAGGACGTAAGATAGTATAGCCAATTTAACAGGAACAAATTTACTACATTCATTAAATATTCTGTATGTAATAGATTCAATTATATTCTCATCTGTTCATCAAACATTCGGTTTCTTTCCAGCCTTATTTAAAACAGTTGTAGATCTAATTTAGTAAAGGTCGCATGTTTTTAGCATCTAATCAAAGAAATATAAAAAGAATATTTTAATATTAAATGATAAACAAAAGTACTGGTCGGTCTAATCGACAGACAATTTGTTCACCTTGGTAACAGATTCTAACCCCTCAACAATTACGGACCTAGATCCGTCGGCACATCCTTGTCGTCTGCTAATGTCTGCACTATTAAAGTCCAGATTGAAAGGTGTACATTTTTGTTTAAGACTTTTAGCATGGTCATATCAAAGTACGCGAATTTAAAGAACGGCTTTTTATTTTGATTTTTGATAAAGCGAATGGCGCATATGCAAATTATCTATAAATTATATATGAAAACAGTTGAACTCATGTCAGGGAAAAATCTAGTTTTGATAAAATGCAGAACATGAATGACATGACTGTACTGTTTGGAAAGTTCTATGGAAATTTTTTGCAGTTTCGCTTTGCAGTTACAGTGTAACATTTTTTTTCAAAATGGCGGACGACTGTCAACTTTGCACACTTATGAGCCGATTTCTGAGATAATTAAGTGCAGTGATTAGGAAAATATTTAACTGTATGCTAGGATCACTTCTTACACGCAAGGCATAATAATTTTGTTTAGAAATGAAACTACTTCATAGTATACGTCGAAATCAAAATAATTCACATCTCGTCCGCCATTTTGAAAATTCTATATTTAGAATTTGTAGCTCGTTCCCTACAGTTTACATATTAAGTTTATATTAAGCGGTCTGTTAGAGAAAAAGAAAATAGTATAAGCTGAAGTATGAGCCGCATAATGAAGTTCATATTTATACAACAGGTGCTCGGATAGATCATGGTCACCATGACAACCTTGCGAAAAAAGCATTGTACGAGACGCTGACATTTGAGGACGCCATAATCGACGCTTTAAGAATGACAAACCAAGAGGAGACACTTGTTATTGTCACGGCAGACCATTCTCACGTGTTTGATATTGCCGGATATGCGTACAGAGGAACAAATATATTTGGTAAGCAGACGACAGAAAAGTTGAATGTTTTGATATTACATCCAGGTATACCATTAGATAAGTATTAATTAGTTTGAGTGTGTCAAGAAACATTAAGGCCTTTAAAATCTTTAAAATGATGCGATCGCAAGGCATTTATTCACATCATATTTCATATGACCTAACTTAGATATAGTACTATTTTTACCGATGTGCTGTTTGAACTATGAAACAATTGTGCCAATGATTACTTATATAACGCACAGAATGTGGTAAAAAGTGTTTGCTCACTCACAGATGATTTTGATTCGATTAAAGTATCATTATGCTAATTTTCTTATTGTCAACTTGAGCTAAATGGGCATTTTATTTCAAAAGGTTGACTGTTATATTGTTGGATGTCCACAAGCTGATATTGGAAAATATTATGGAAAAAATGTCACTTTGCATAAAACATAAAAAAACTGCCCCACTCTTTTTATAAATTGAACATGTATATAATGATGAATATAATCTGACATTGCCTTGGCCCACGTGAGGGTTTTGCTGTTTATGCAACGTAAGCTATATAATTGAAAGGAGTTATGGTAAAACGAAAAACGTACTTGAACTTTCAACTAGTCACTCAGTATGCACACTTGAATAGGCAGAAAAAACATCATCATTAATGATTTTATTTATTCATTAAGGTTTGGTGGAACCTATTGACCCTACTGAGAAGACGGTAGATGGAAAGCCATACAGCGTCCTGTACTATGGAAATGGTCCCGCTTACTCCGAGCCTCGCAAACTGCTGAATGAGGAAGAAATGCGTAAGTGTTAATTTACTGCAAAGCTAAAGAAGTTAAGAGCATTGGTAAACTCGTTGTAACAAATTGCATTTCATTCAGCTTCTATCTTTAAAACAAGGAATACACTACTTGTTATTCACAGAGTGTCAAATGTAACTAATACATACTAATTTTATTTTTAAATTATGTTTTACACCTCTGATATATGTTTATTTGTAATGAAGTTGCAGTTTCAGAGTCACTATTTTTCACTCAAAACGATAGCTTATGTAGATTATTAGTATAATTGATTAAATGAAAAGTGAATACAATTTGAAACAAGAGCACACTCTTAGAAATTTCCATTAACCTCATATTGTGATCAACATTTTATATTTAATATCAATATGTTTTAGAGGACAAAGGATTTGCTTTTCCCAGCGGTGTTCCAATACCATGGGATACTCACGGTGGTGAAGATGTTGCTATATACGCCCAGGGACCAATGGCACATTTAATCCATGGCGTCCAAGAACAGAACTATATTGCCCACGTGATGGCATACTCCGCCTGTATTGGGGCATACAAAGGTCCCGATTGTGATTATGAGGCAAGAACGGCTGATATAAGTTCTGCTACTAGAATGTCCATTTCTTACGTATTTCTAATTTTTGCTACATGTTCCTTACATAGACTTATTTGAACCAATAAGTTTGTTTTAAATTGTGCCATATTGCAGTATTTCTTTGTGTGACAGGAAACTTTATACACTAGAAACCTTGTTTTACTCACATTTTGTATTTTTTATCAGTAAGTCTGTCATAGGACTCTGTACCTGAACATATGTAAAACGATATTACAAAACGTTTTATTTTCCATGCAGGTTAATAAAATTAACTTTTGTTAGTTCATTATAATTTTAATGGCTTATACAAATCTGTTAATTTTTATAGAATATTTTTTATGTAGCTAGCGTAGTTGTTATACACGCATAATTTTTACACCCTTTTTAATTGCCGAAATTTTGAAATAAATTGTAATTGACATAACCCAAATTTTACTGGGAAATGTTCGTTATTCCAAATTTAGAAGTTCCTAAATTCAGAGATATGAATAACATAGAAAGCGGTAGAAGAAATTTCGGGAGTTTACGGTTTTAGAATTTCCTTACATGTATACTGCAGTTACACTGTACAACTTTTATGCATTATTTTGTCTTTATATACTTATTTTCACTGTAATAACCATGTAGATTTAATAACAAATAAAGAGCCTTGTTAAGCAAAGACTATATTCAAACATTTTATGTCCCTATATGTTTGCCTATGTTCCCCGACCTGGCGGCTTGCTTCATGCTTCCCATCCATAGCATGACAAAACAGTATTATATATGTAGGCAACTGTGTCCTGTGGTCAAAATACGCTATTACATATAATTATATAGCAGATGAAAAAGTGTTGTAGAACGAAATATCATTATTCATCATCTAAATGTTCATGAAGATAAATCACTTAGTACTTTAGCAACACTTTTTATTCAAGCAACATTTAACAAGGATAGAATATGCAAATGATACGTTTCTATACTTATGGTAAAGGTGCCCCTTGTAGACCAATACACTTTAAAGGCAATTTTGACCCCCCTATGGTGGCTGATTTACGCCATGTATTTTTGTTTCTTCGCCTCAAAAGCGACACCATACCCAACGGTCCATACGACCTATGTATTATTTCAATGACATGTAAATGAACAATATTACATGAAGTTAACACCTTCCTTTTGCTATTTGTACGCCATAACTATATAACTATAATCTTGCGGATATTTACTTGCAACTGAATAAGATCGCTTGCTTGAAATGAATTTACATTGTCAAGACAACTTGAACACTCCTTGAATTGAGCACTCCTTGAATGAGCCTGGTCACTGAGTGAGAGCTTCTTCCATTCCACAGCATCACTTTGTTGCCATGATTTGGAGAATTTAGTAGTGAAACAAACCACTTGCCCATCACCGCTGTGGTTTCGAATTTCAACAGGGGCTTTGGGATAAATGTTTAGAAGCTACCCAAGCTAGCTTACTGGCGTCGAACAAACCACTTGCCCCTCACCGCTGTGGGTTCGAATTTCAACAGGGGCTTCGGGTTAAATGTATGGAAGTTATCCAAGCTAGCTTACTGATGTAGAGGGTTGTACTCAGGAGCCTGTTTGTGCTTGAAATACTGCAAAAGGGCATTTGAAGTCTTCTTCCACCGGTAAAGTTAAAACGTTGCCATATAATTCAAAATTATGAAAATCAGTTGGCCCCCTGAACGAAACCAATTTTGAACCTTTTGCAAATATAGAGGATGAGACTTTAAAGTTTTACCTATATGAAACATAAATACCACCTGGACAGGTGATAGAATCAACTGGGGAGAATTCAACACAACATTGCAGTTTAACAAAAGAGAACTTTAGCGTAAAATGCCCAAGATTCAGGCTAATTTTCATGAAAATTTTGAAAATGTATTTAAAAGTAAAATACGGTAAGAAAGTTATTTGCAACATGCACAACATGCACACGGCGCATGCAAACCACGTAGATTACTGAAAATATGTCAAAACATGCACATATGATTTTTGCTGCGTTAGTCACACAGTAGAAATATGGTGAAAAAGTCCGCTAAATCAGTCAATCATAGCACAATGTATGTAAATTATTAATTGAATCTTGAATCCTTTACTTTTCTTAAAACATTTTTTTTTTTGAGCTTGATATTCATGAATGTTTTTTAGCTCATCTGGAGGCACGCAACTTTAAGAGAATATTTGCGCCTGATAAACGGCCTTTGGTCACTTTACCGTGGTCTTAACTCTAAAACAACTAGCTTGTTAATATTCTTATTGAAGTACGAACATTTCTAATAAAACAAAACATAGATAAATGATTAAAGAAAGAATTATTAAAACTAAATAAATAATGGAACTCATTACATCTATATTTTTATTGGAGCTTGAAATGTGTGAAATATTGTTAACAAATGCATAATGCTAATACAATACTAGTTTGATTATTTTTTTTGCAAACAGTTAAATAAGATTGAATAAATTGAATCAATTATACCATAAAGTAAAGTTTTGCAAATTGTAAAAACATATTTAAGTCAGACAAGCTTGGATAAGTGTTCTAGAAAAAAGTCTAAATGAAAAATGATGTACCTCTTTCAATATTAATATCTACATGTATAATTTAAAGAGTCGGTTAGATCAATAAACAGATAAACAAACTAGAAACGTCCTTATCATTTATCCTTTGTAAATCTGGCAGAATTATTTTAAGATTACAATTGTTACCAGTAAATTAAGTAGATCTATTTCTTTTTTGTTTTGATATTCAATCCAATGGAAGTCCTGAAAATTTGAATATTTAGAAACAAATTGAAATTTATACAATCATTAGTAACCATACACTCCACCAAGGTAACACATTTGTGAACATATATATTGTTAAGTTTAAAAAACACATTTTCATAATGTTCATAAGTAATAAATGAAATAAACAACAATTTTTGGCTGCTACAAAAATACTAAAACTACTCCCGATTTCTATATGTTAAACTTAGAAACAATCACATTGTCTTTTATCTTTATGAAACTGAATAAAAAAATATCAAAATGTTCATTGATTTAAGCTATTATAGTTTATAATATCAATAACCTACAATTAATAAATACAGTAAAATTAGCGTTAAATGATCATACATACAAGGTTTATTGAAATCAGAGTCTACCGTTGTTCAGAAGAAATCTTTTTTTCTATATTGAGTTTTACTGTTCTCACCTAAATTACAATTTTATCAACATAATAAAGACAATCCTACATAGACAAACATTCTTTACTCCAATAACAAAGCGCAGTAAATAGGAATGAAACACCTTTCACAAACTATTATGGACAGTGCTGTAATGATGTCATTATAAATGTCTGTAGTTTGATACCAGAATAAGCACAATTTCCATAGAAATTTCTGACAGAAGATGCATTCCAGTTCTTTAAGTAGGACATTTCACATGTGCATGAAATTGGGACTGCTGTACGTATATCAAAATTATACAACTGCTGAAGATACATTACAGCCGCCGGAATGGTTTGAAGGTTTGTGCCATATAAATGGAGGTATCGTAATGCAGGGTTGTTTCGAAAAGCGTTGGTTGAGATGTATTTTATAGGATTATTGGTTAAATCAAGAGTTTGAAGTTTAGTAAGCGCGCTAAGGTCGTGGTATTCAATTGAAGTAATATGATTGCTCTCCATGTAAATGTATACAAGATTTTTCATTCTATTTAAAGCATAAGGAATCCTTTTGAATTCATTACTATTCAGCTGTATCTGAGACAATACATTGGTTATTGGAACCTTTTCAGATTCAATAATGTCAAGTGCATTAGATTCAAGAAACAAGTATGTTATTGCAGGGAAGATATGAAAAACATCAGGAAATTTTGTAAGATGATTATATCTCAAATTTAAGCTAGTGACTTTGTTTAATTTACTATTACAGTGATCAAATATTGAAGTGGTGTTTTCATTTAGTTTTGCGAAATAGTTCAGGGTCAAGGTTTGTAAATTTGACAGTTGGCAAATGGCATTTGGGATTTTGTCTAAATAAGGAACGTGCTCTATGTCTAGGGTATGAAGAGATTTTTCAAATCCTCGAAAAGCTTCGGAATTTATATGTTGGACGTTTATGTTGTACAATGTGAGAGATTTTAACACTCTTAAAAAACCAAGTTCATTTGGCCATGACGTGAACTCCTTTAAATCTATGTTAAGTACTTCAAGAGTATTTCCCATTTCTGATTGGGTAGAAACACCTAAGGACTTGATAGGGTTACCTGGAATGTATAATTCTTTAAGAACTGGAAGGTTATATACAGCAGCAGGAATACTCGTTAGGTTATTATTTTGCATACTTAATGATTTTGTTACATTTTCAACCCCATTAAATGCATATCTGTCAATGGAAGATATCTTATTATTATCAAGATAGAAATCTATATTTGTCGCATTGACCGCACTTAAGTTTTTAAAAGCATAGTTAGGTATAGTTGTCAAGTGGTTGCTATGCAGATATACAGTCAACTTTGACACATGTCTATCAGCTTTCAAAAAAGTGGGTGTGGTATTGAGACTCTTGCCCTGACAATAGATGTAGGCATATGAATATCCTGACCCCGAACACGTGCATGGTGCAGGTGCTAGACAACTATCACCTAACAGGAAGCTATCACAATATGACACCAATGCTGCACAACTGATAATCTGAAAGGATAATAACATTTTTTTTTCAAAATATTTAACGTTTATGTGAGTTTATGACACTGTACTTTTCTTGAAATGTACGAACTTACTTTAACGTTACAATTTATCTGATAAAAGGCGTGTACTTTATGGATCGAATGTCTTCAAAGTTAAAAATATTTAAAAACTATGACGGCAAAATGTTATTTTTTTGTAATTATAAAAAATGTAAATTTTATGAAAGATATTCAAGGAACCCAATTACAGACTTATTCCGCTTGTCTTTTTTTCTTTTTGAAACATATTACAGGAATAATATTTCATTGCACTGAATAAATGTATTTCTTATTTCTATTCAGGTTCAATAAAAAAAATATACAAGCGTTTGGGGATATATTTTGCTTAAGTATTATTTCTAAATTTAGAACGCACGATTTTGTTATTGTTGCAAAGTACCAAAAAGGAAAAGGATAATTCCAATTAAATTTCATTAACATTTGCCAAGAAATTGATGAGATATGTCGTTCCAAGGTCCAAAAAATGATTATCTTCAGATGACCAGGATAACTACAGCACATCATTAAAAAAATAACAATACACAATCATTCATATAAAGTTTCATCTGAATCTATCAGGAGGTTGAGGAGGAGATCTCGTTTAAAGTTTATTTCTTTTGTAACTATGTTGGTTATCTTGTTCTTAAAACCGAAATGATTGTGTAAACTTTAAAAAGACCACTTCTTAATTATTCTGATGGTGTTTCATTCAAAACCATGTAGCGCTTTAGGAGATATTGCTACTAATTTAAGCTAGGGTAGCCATTTTGTTTAGCAGACAGAAATGATTTAATTGTCGTTAATGACTCCATGTACCTAATGATCATTCTTGTAAATTTTCATCAGAATCTGCAGCATGGTTAAGGAAAAGATGAGTAAAAGGTGATTTCTATTTGAGCCGCGTCATGACAAAACCAACTTACAAACCCTTTAACAAGTAGAGAACTGATAGCGATCAGCATGGATCCTGATCAGACTGCCCGGATGCACAGGCTATATGTATCCATGCTGGTCGCAAACCAATTATGTTGGTTTTGTCGTGACGCGGCTCATTTATGTCTGGTGGCCATCTAATTCAGAAGACTGAAGCAAATTAAGTGATATTTGTCAGGAACGGGCTTATAATCGTTTCTGGAGAGAAATATACCGAGCGATTGAGAAGGTATGTCGTTTTAAGGTTATGCTCTTCCTTTTTTAACGTCTGGCAGCCACGTTGTTCACAGTCCAAAATGCTTTTTTTTTGGAAGACAGACAAAACCCCACCAGTCAAAACCACACACCTCAAAATTTTACAGAGTGGACAAAACCCCACACCTTCAATTTTACAGAGTGGACAAAACCCCACCACCTTTAATTATTGGGCAAGATTTGATGGATTAAAATACATATAATATACATATATCTTAATATAATTTAACACATTATTTTATTTCTTTACATTCCATTTTTTTTATTTCAAATACATAACAAATTACATCAATCAAACATGTGCGTAATATAAGAAAAAACAATTTTATTAACAATGCATGTACAACTTTATATTTGTATATGACACGTTTTATTTAATTGCTTTTTTCACTTGTTATATCAAATTAGATCATTATAACATTTGCAAGATAAGAAACCAATTGTTGATGCCGTCGCGTTGGTTGTGGTACGAATCGGTTTAGTGCGAAACATATTTAATTCCGACGTGATTATCTCCCTTTGACTTTTCTGCGGCATTTGTAACGATTGTTAAACGTTTTAGGGGAAAACGATCTTCGAAGAGGTTTTAAGTTCTAAATAGTGGCAAAGAGGTTTGTTATGCAGAATTGTTGTCTATTTTATAATATTTTGACTATATTTTTCTATGGAGTATTGTATTGTTGCATTTCGAACCAAATGTTTGATATTTTAAGTCTCAGAATTCGATTGTGTTTTGTCTTTTCAGTTTTCACGTGAGCATTGCGAACAATACAATCGAAATTGCGGAAATAAACTGTATTAAGCTCTCAGTGTATGTCTTTGTCAATCGGCCAGATTGCGCGCCATCAGCTCGATACCCTGAAAGGCGACTGGTCGCCATAGTGAAAACTCTTCACACCGTGAAATCCTGTACAAGATCTGTGGAACATCTCCCCAGCTAAGATTGTTATAGATGAGTTTAAGTAGGCTTCAGAAAAATATTTGTAAAGCTACCACTTCATCTGATAATTCACAGACAGACCTGGCTTGGAAACCAGTCATTATAAGTGACAGTAAGGGTAGATATATAAAGTTAGCTGTCAACAAAAGTGTTTCTCATGAAAACGAAATAATATGGTGTTTTAAAAGTGGAGCAAATTGCCACGAAAGATATATTTGGTTAGAACACAACATTGAAGATCTTTTAAAGAAGCATAGAAGAATTGCCTTATTTATATGGTTGGGCACATGTGACCTCACTAGAAAGGTTAATAAATATATTAACTTAAAACCAAATCCAGTTGCTAACTTGAAAAATGATCTGCAAAAGTACAAGGACCTTGCTGACAAGTACTCCGATGTAAAGATCTGTTTCATTCATGTGCCATATTACTCAATTGAAAAGTGGAACAAGTTAAAAGGTCATTCAAATTCTGAAACATTCAAAGAAGACGACCGAAGACTCACAGATTATATAACTGAAATTAATAACTTCATAGATGATTTAAATTGTCAAACCGGAACAAGCTCTCCAAGATTAAATCAGGATCTGTGCAGAAGTCGTAAAAGAAAAAATTCCAAGGCAAGATATCCCTGGAACTTCAATCTTTTAGTGGACGGAATTCATCCATCTTCAGTTTTAGCCAAATCGTGGTTAAAATCAATTTGTAGAACAATATTGCGAGATTGCTTGTAAACTGAAAATCAGTTGTTGTTTCTGTAGGCAGGGATTGCCCAGCCACAGAGTTTGAACATAAAAAACTTTCTACTTATATTTGCATGAATTTCATTGAGATTTCATTTGTTGTAGTGTAAGCAGGGAATGCCCAGCTACACCTTTATTCTAAGGTAATTTAATTTTTTTTTGTATATTAACTCAGATCATTCAATTTTGAAAAAACTAACCACATATATTAGCATAGTAGGTGCATACAAACTTCATTTAAGATGGCAGAAGGGCAGTCACTTGATAAAACGGTTGTAAACTCTGACAATACTGAAATTCAGAGCGCGTCGCCAGATTTACATCTTAGTTCTAGGAATCCGATCTTAACCGAGAAAGGTTTACAATATCAAAGGGATATATATAACAAAAAATTCAGGTCTTGCGTGTCAAAATGGCGAAGGCAATCTGTCCAAGTATCTATAATTATGTCGGACAGTTCAGAAGTAAAAGCGCTGCGCGACGAGAGAACAAATCTCGAAAATTCTTTTGCTGAACTGTGTACGGCTTTACGATCAGTTAAACAATTTAAGCGCAGATGATAATATTGAAGTTCGTAGTTCTGAAACATTCGATAAAATTGAAATTGAGCATCAGCTGATTATGTGTAGGATATCTGAAAAAATTTCGGAACTTCAAGTCACAGATTTTGACTTACAGTCAATACGTTCGCAACAAAGTAATAGGTCTAATAGATCGCGACGTTCTTATAATTCAGTGAATATTAAGACTTCTAATCCGGCAACCGAAGCCGCTGTTTTAAGTGCTAGACTCAGATACATAGAAGCAGAAGCTCATTCTCGCGCTCAGTTTGAAAAAATCACAACAATTAAGAAATTAGAAATGGCTAAAGCAAGATTAATGGCTCTAGATCAGGAGTTGGTTGGAGATAATCAGTCTGATACTGTGACTAAACAATTGCAGTTGCCAGTTGATATTGAAGATAAATCTGATTTCGTTCAAAAATATGTTGATACACAATCTCATAGCATTCAAAATGACTATAAAATTATTAAGTCATCGCATTCACAATACACTCAGGGCCAGTCAAATACACATATGCCACAATTTACAACTTCTTCTCTGCCATTTGATTCAACACCTGTTGCAGCTCTGAATCCTGCAGTAGACCCGTTTATGCCTAAAAGTTCACTTTCTAAGGCATCAGTATCTCATGATTCACAATCTGCCATAAACACACAAGCAGGTCAAGATGTATTAAATAATCAAGTTACAGAAGGTTATTTTGATAAAGGTGTCGAGCAGTTAACTAAGTCATTGGTTGAACAAATATGTCTTAATAGACTACCCCCTCCTGAACCTGGAATATTTTTTGGAGATCCGTTGAAATACCCAGCATGGAAAACTGCTTTCAATACTTTAATTGAAAACAGTCATATCTCGCCTTCTGAAAAGATTCATTATTTGAAGAGATACATTGGTGGACCGGTTCGAGAGGTAGTTGAGAGTTATTTCCTACTCTCTTCTGATGATTCTTATGATGAGGCTAGAAGTTTGTTGGATGAAAGATATGGCGATCCTTATATTTTGGCAAATGCCTTTCGTGAAAGGCTTGAAAAATGGCCCAAAATAGCTGCGAGGGATGGTCATGGTCTTAGGCGATTTTCAGATTTCTTGCGGCAGTGTGACACTGCAATGCGCTCTATTGGTAGTCTTGGGTGTCTCAATGATGATAGAGAAAACAGAAAGTTGTTGCTTAAGTTACCAGAGTGGATTGTCACACGTTGGAACCGGTTAGTAGTAAAATGGAAGGATCAGAAGGGTTCATTCCCTCCCTTTTCCGAATTTGTGAATTTTATTGTCTGTGAAGCCAAAATAGCTTGTGATCCAATAACATCTCTTCAGTCACTTAAATCAGATCAAACTAGCTCTGAGTCAGATAAGTCTGATAGACGTCCAAGGTATGAAAACAGTCGGCGACCACCTGTGAGAGGTTATTCTAATTTCACTGATACTAAACATAAAACCCCATATGTCCCTCCTAATTCAGGTATTTCTAGTAACTGTTGTCAAATCTGTAAGGGAAAACATGATTTAGATCAGTGTTCGCAGTT